AAAAAAAAAACCCAAAACCAAAAAACTCACTGCTGTGGAGTCTATTCCAACTCATAGCGACCTCTCCTTGGGTTTCTCAGGCGGTATCTCTACGGAAGTAGGTTGCCCAGTCTTCTTTCCGAGGAGCGGCTGGTGGGTTTGAACCGCCAGCTTTCTGTTAGCAGTCAAATGCCTTAGGCACTACGGTACCAGATCGCTAGGAGCCTACAACTCCCAAGCACCCCCTGGGCTGCTGACGTCTTCCGGAAGCAGGCACGTGCAAACAGCCGACGTAGGTCATGGCGTCCAGACGACTGTTTGGAGGTACCTGGACCTGGGCTGGCTGGCGGCCTCGGGAGCTCCCGGACCCCTCCGCGCTCTGGAGGCTTCTAGTTCGGGATTATGCCAGAAAACCAGGTGAGCTAGGTTAAGGGGGACTAAGATGGGGATGGCGGGTACACGGGGAGCGGGTAGTGCGCAGGCGCTGGTTCGAGAGCGTGTTACCTAGGTTCTATGCGCAAGCGTAGAGAGGCAGACGCTAGGCAGTAAGTGCAGGCACTGTTTGAGGGACTTAAGTGCTGCTTAGAGCGCAGACGCCTGTGTGGAAACAGCCTTAAAGGCAGGTTGGAGGCAGTGCGCAGGCGCACGCTACTCTGCTTCAGCTAACGGTGGTGATCTGGCAGTACCTTGAAACTGCGCGGCTGTAAAAAGAGTGGGGGTAACGGGGAGCAAGTGCGTCTCACTGCGCAGGCGCGCCTTGCTAGGCTTCGTTTTTAGAAGGACAGACATGTATTTGGGTTCCAATCTAGTTTCTGCCTCAAACCAATCATCACTAGAAATTGGAGAACGTGATAAAATTCCTTAGATATTGGCTATTGAAGCAAAATAAGGTCATTGAATTTTAGCTGGATATAGCCGTGCCTGATCTCTTGAAAGAAGGACTTTGGTAAATGTTAGCCGTTAAAGATGTAGCCATTGGAGACTCTCTCAGTGAGATAAACAGAAGGAATAAAGTGGAATAAAAGGGAACGACTTGCTCGCTCTGAGCACCAGTGTTATTTCATCTTGTGCCCGTTTCCTTCTTAAAATCAATTTGAACCCGGGGGGAAAAGTCCAGCCAAGGCCTGAGGCCACTGGGCATCAGGACAGGGCTGGACTGAATCCTTTCTTCCCCGACCCCTTAGTCATGAAGGGCGGCAAAGGCGCAGTCAGCGAGGCTCTGAAGGACCCGGAAGTGTGCACAGACCCCGTCCGGCTCACCACGCACGCCATGGGTGTCAACATCTACAAGGAGGGCCAGGATGTGGTCTTGAAGCCAGACGCTGAGTACCCCGAGTGGTGAGCGGGCTGCATCCTCCCCACCGGCCATCCCCCCGCTCCAGGAGGCAGGCAGTGACATCTTGGGGGTAGATGGCAGTGGGGAGGCGTTGGAGCCTGGTGGTACCCCCACCCATTCCAAACCTCGGAGCCCAGTGTGCAGAAGGGGGTGGAGTCACACCTCCCTCCGAGGGTTGTGGGTAATTAGTGAGCTCAGAACGCTGTGAAATGCTTAAAGCAATGCATGTTTTCCTTTACAAACCTTTATTAAGCGCTGTGTGCCAGGCTTTGTTCTCTGATGAGGATGCAACAGGGCACAAAACAGGCAGTATTTTCCTCAGGGAGGCAGACAGTAAGCAGATAATCCGGCACGTGCTGGAGCTGCGCCCAGGAAGTGGGGGGCAGAGGGTGGGACTGACGTGTGTGGAGTCTGAGGTTTAGGGGAGAGCTTTCCTTCCGAAGGAGCTCTGGTGGTGTAGTACCTAAGGCAGCTGATTGCTAACCAGATGGCTGCGGTTCAAACCCACCAGCCAGTCCTCGGAAGGAAGGTTGGGCAATCTACTGCTGTAGAGATACGCCTGGGAAACCCAAGGAGGGGTCGGTCGCTGTGAGTCAGAATTTACTGCAGTGAGTTTGGTTTTTTTTTTTTCCTCCGGAGGTAATGTGTGAGCCACCTAGTGGCTGGAAAGGGCTTTGCAGTCAGAGAGCATAGCCTGGGTAAGGGCTTGAGGCAAGGCTGGTCCCTCTGTGAGTTGAGTATGAGGCCAGCGTGGCTGGAGGAGTGGTGGTGGGGCTCAGCCTCTGCAGGGTTGGGTGGACTACAGGGAAATTTTGCTTGTCGTCCTGAGACAGTGGCAGAGTGTGGAAGCTATTGATGTGCTGATCCTTCAGGCTGGGGAAGGTTCTAGAAAGTGGATGGGGAGAACATTACAGCTAGACAGTAGAGCGTAGACAAGGACCAGAATGGAGGCCCTTTGGGATGGGCAGTTCCATGGGGATGGGGGCTGCTTCCTTGGTCCCCGACTTAGGCAGGAGGAGGGACCACCACAGTCACCGAGTGGGACCCAGTGCCACTGGCAGCCTGCCCAGAGGCCTAGAGGAGGGTGGGGCATTCTCATTTCTGCCTCTGCTTCACCAGGCTGTTCCAGATGAACGTGGGCCCCCCCAAGAAGCTGGAGGAGCTGGACCCTGAGTCCCGCGAATACTGGCGGCTGCTGCGGAAACAGAACATCTGGCGCCACAACCGGCTGAGCAAGAACAAGAAGTTCTAGTGGGGCGGGGCGCCCCAGCCCCCGGACCCCGGAGGGCCAGCTGCATACTTGCTCTGCCCCCCTCAAGGACTGGGCACCCCGGACCCTGGAGGGTTGGCCACACCCCTGCTCTGCCCCCCAGCAAGGACCGGGCACCCCAGACCCTGGAGGGCTGGCCACACCCCTGCTCTGCCCCCATAGAAGACTATTTTTGTGCAGAAAACAGATTTTCCCCAGAGCAGAGGTGGCCGCCTTGCCTAGGTCTCTGCTCACCACCCCCAGTGAGGTTGGACCAGGGCCCTAGGGGCCAGTAAAGACCTTGGGTTCCTTGTGGTCAGGCCAGGATGCCTTGTGTAGTGTATTGTCTGATCTTGGGCTGGGAGGGGGAGGATAGGCATGTAGGGAGGGGGCGTCCCACACTGAAGGTCCCCCCAGCACTTGGCTGGGCTTATGCAGGGCAAGCCATGCCCTAGGCAGAGGGGGTGGGCTGGGAGGGCGCACCTACCCTTCTGCCCCCACGGGCCCCACCTGATTCCAAGTAGGTGACCTTGGTTGCCAAGGGCACTGGCTGGAGGTGTGGCGGGAACGCAGCCACCATCTAGCCCTTCAGAGGGCTTTGGCCCGTGCCCCCCACCAGCGGACTCCTAGGCTAATTCTCCCCCATCCAGGAACCGTCATCTGCTTAGGGGATGGGCCAAGGGGGCTCCGTGCACCTGCCCGCCCTGCGGGTGAAGGGAGCGAACCAGCATTATTTGTGCATTCCTGGAGGAGCTGGCTCCTCCTGGCCTTAAGGTCTGAACCGACCCCATAAGCCCACAAGGCCCTGCCGGACCTGCTCCTGCCTCTCCCGCTGCTCCAGCCAAACGGGCCTCCTGGTGGCTCTCCAGCTCCGCAGGCGCCTCCAGGTCTCACGGCTGCTCAGCGAGGCCTCCCTCCCTGGCCACCGCGTCCCTGCCGCACCCTCCCGCCGCCCTCCCCAGCTGGCTTTTTCCCCCAGCACTCCATCACTGCTGCCCTTGGTTTTACTGTTACTGTCACTCTGTTTCTCGTCTTGCCCGCCGGAATGTCTGCTCCCGAGGGAGGGATTTTTGTCTGCCTCACTTCCTGCTCCATTCGCACTGCTGGCCCGTAGTGGGCACTCAGAAATAGTTGGTGGATGGATGCAAGGACAGATGGGTGGGTGAGTGGACAGATGAATGGGTTGGCCTCTCTGCTCTGGGGGTACAGTTCACAGAGACTTCTCCCCTGCACCTGGGCAGCCTTGTGGAGGAGGGTGCTGGGGTGAACACAGGTGTGAGGTTCAGGTGTAAGCAGGATGTGGGGCCTGGTGGGTGGTTGGGGAGGACCTGAGTGGGTCACCTGAGGGGGCCTGAGCACACCCCCACTCCTGCCCATGGTGGGGGTGGACACCTGGCCCCGGGGAGGTGCTCACACTGGGGCAGCCCCAGGCCTGGGCCACATCCGTCCCACCCAGCAGCCTCCTGGAGCCCAGCTGTACCCTGCAAGGGCTGCCAGATCCCACCCTGAGGGCCTGGGAGCCACTGGGTGGGGCCTCCTCACCAGCCCCCATCACCACCCTCACTGGCCTAAGGAGACATCACTGGGGTCTGGGGGCACTGGGGACGTAGAACCTCTTGGTGGAGGGCGTGTGAACAGCCGCTGTCCCCCACTCCAGCCTGCCCCTGCCCGTGAGTCTCCCGTTGGTGCCCATGCCTGGGTCCCCAGCTTCCTATACCAGCACAGACCCAGCCTGGCAGCTGGAGTCACAGAGTAAAGGGAGGAGTTTGGAAAAGAGTTCCCCACCACCAACTGTGTGGGCGCAGGAAACGGGCTGTCTCTGGGCCTCAGTTTATCTATCTGTCAGAGGAGGCTAGTGGCCATGCCCACCTCCCAGCCATGGTCCAAGGCGGGCACGCACAGAGGGGAGCCGCGTGACAGGAGCCAAGTGACCTAACTTGCTGATGCTGTTCTTGGAGAGAGGTGTGTGCAAGTGAGCCGGGGCAGCTCTGCTGGGGAGAGGGAGACAGGAATGGGCGGAGGGATTTGGAGCCATCAGCTCCCAGAATTCACCTCACAGAAACGGTTTCCAGCCTTCCAGTCCAAGAATCTCAGAATCCGACCCATCCATGCCCATTTGACAGAGGAGGAAGGTGGGGCCCGAGAGAAGCAACCAAAAAAAACCCAAACCTGCTGCCATCGAGTCGATTCTGACTCACCAACTGGGTTTCTGAGGCAGTAAATCTTTACAGAAGCAGGTTGCCCAGTCTTCCTTAACAGAGTGGCTGGTGGGTTTGAACCGCCAACCTTTTGGTTAGCAGTCAAATGCCTTAGGCACTGTGTCAAGAGAGGCAAAGAGCATGGCTAGTTGCTTCCATGAGCAAATACCTCCTTTGCCAAACCAGAAGTACTGGATGGGGCCTGGCTATCAATACTGAATGCTCAGATCAAAGATTCTAAAGAAGAATTCTAATCAGAAGGGGGACAATGTAGAACAGAATGTAAAATTTTCATGGAATCCAGACTTTCTGGAGTCACTGAGGCTGGATGAACCCTGAAACTACTGCCCTAAAATAACTTTAAATCTTAAACTATCTGGAATCTTTTTCAAACAAAACAACAGTTTAACTTAAGTAGTAAAGGATGTCTGCCATGTTGTTGTTGTTGTTAGGTGCCGTCGAGTCCTCTCCGACTCATAGCAACCCCATGCACAGCAGAACAAAACACTGCCCGGTCCCTCACGAGCTCCACAATCCTTGCTACACTTGAGCCCATTGCTGCTGCCACTGTGTCAGTCCATCTCTTTGAGGGCCTTCCCTTCTTTCATTGACCCTCCACCTTACCAAGCATGACATGCTTCTCCGGGGAAGTGTTCCTCTGCTATTCATAAGGTTTTCACTGGCCAATTCTTTGTGAAGTGGATGGCCTCTTCCTTCTTCCTAGTCTGTCTCAGTCTGTAAGCAGTGTTGAAACCTGTGTACCATGTGCAACCCTGCTGGCGTTTGAAACACCTGTGGCACAGGCTTAAGCCACACAGCAACATATAAGCCCAAACAGTGCGACAAACTGACAGACAAGTTTGTTTCCCTTAGCTGATTGAAACCTCTCCACTTCCTGTCTCTTGGGGGTGGGGCCTGTGTCCCTCTCCTTACCCAAAATCCCTGCTGCTTCCGCCCCCCCCCCGCCACTTCCTGCCATGAGCATCGTGTTCTTTAAAGCACTATCGGTATGGGATCAAAGTAACAACAGTAATCAAAAGATTAGATGGGAACCTAGGGGGCAGTGGGTTCATGTTCCTGGGGAGGAGCAGCTTGGAAAAGGAGGGTGAGCGCATGGCCCTAAGAATGTCATCAATGTCACTGAACATGAGAAACTTCAATATTCTGCTGTGAACAGTCTCAACAACAAGGAAAAAAAGAGGGAAGGACAGACTCCTGCAGGCAAGCCAGAGAGAGCCCTGCCCCTCGTCCTGGAATACTTTTGTCCGCCTCCTTCTTTTGACTGGGTGGCAGTCTCCCCAGAAGGCAGGGTGAGGAGGTGATGGGGCGGTGGGGGTCTGGGGCTGGGTGGGCCTGGATGGGCTAGGGGTTCCTAGCAGCCTGTGCTGCTCCCCAGCGACCCTGGCCTGATGTCTGAGCAGCTCCATGACCTTCGTCATAGTCAGTCAGGAGGTCCCAGGCCTCAGGGACAGGACCGGCCAGGCAGGCACTAGGCTCAGGCTGAGGGCCAGGCCCTATCCAGGGCCTGTGTGTGCTCCTTGGCCAGCAGCCGCAGGGATGCCTCCTCCAGGGTGAAGCCATCGGTGAAGGCTGGACCAAAGATGTGTGGTCCGAAGGGTGCCTGCATGGCGGAACCCGGGCCTAGGAGGTGCGGGAGGCCTGGCACTGCTGGGGGCCCTGGGCCCAGCCAGGGTTCCAGGGGCAGTGGCATGGCTGGAGGGCAGGTGAAGGACAGTGCTGGGGCTTCGGGGAGCCGTGGGGCTGCCACAGCCCTTGAGCCTGATTCCAGACGCTCCTGGCGCCGCCACTTGGCCCGGCGGTTCTGGAACCACACCTGGAGGCATGGAGAGGCACTAAGACTCCTCCTCTGTGTACCCCCTCCCAGCTGTACAGTTCTGCCTCCTGTCTAACCTGACTCCCTCCTGCTGCAAGACCAACACGCTTTGTTATTTGGCCTCAGGGCTGTCTTACCCAAATCAAATCACCTAAAATCTTTTTCAAATCTAGGCCTTCCTTGACATTCTCTGCCAAGAGCCCTCCAGGTTCCTCAGCAGGAAGCCTGAGCTGCTGGGCTCAGTATTCGAAACCCTCTAAGCTCTTTTATCAGCACCATTCTATGCCTCCTCTCCAACCCACCTCCCTCCCAGCTTGACAGAAACACCTCCAGCTTGACATCTTTGCACATGGTAGAACACCCATTCTCCTTCCCATCTGGCAAACTCCTCAAACATCAAGACTTCATCACCTCCTCCAGGAAGCCTTCCTGGTTTCTCCTGCCTTTGTACCAGGAGGGGCCACATTTGGACAGGGGGGTGGGGGGCCCCTCACCTGCACACGCACCTCGGGCAGGTGCACCTTGGCTGCCAGCTCCTCGCGGCTGTACACGTCCGGGTAGTGGGAGGCCTCAAACGCCCGCTCCAGCTGGTGCAGCTGGTACGTGGTGAAAGCCGTGCGGTTCCTCCGGTGCTGCTTCTTGGGGGCCTCCTCACCCGGCCCTGGCCCCCCGCCCTCGGCCACGGGCCCCTCGCTTGGGTTCAGGAACATGGCTCCTCCTCACCCCCACCTAGTGGAATGGCAGCAGGCCAGACGGTGGTGAGACAGCAGGAAGGACTGCCAGCTGGGAGAGAGTAGAGGAGCCCCAAACACCTTCTGGGTCTGCTGTACCGTGGGGAGCAGCTGGGGCCTGGCCTCCCTGCTTCTGGGGACGTCTTTTCCCTCCACGTTGTCCTACTTATTCCTACCCTCCACTCCGTGTCTCTCCCCCTTGGGTTCTCTTTCTCTCTGCTTCTTTCTGTCTCTCTGGTTATTTCTGTCTCCCCGTTCCTTTTGTGTCTGTCTCTATTTCCCTACATCTTTCTCTCTGTCTCTAAGACTCCCAGGAAGGCAGGATGCTGAGACGCCGCCACAGAGTGCCTCCTTACCCCGTAAACCCTCTGTCCTGGGGGCCGTCTGAAGCCCGCCTGTCCAGTGCTCACCACCTGCACAGCCTCACACCGGCCCAGGATCTGCGGGGCACCGCCCTGGCAGGCGCAGCTCTGGGTCTGCTCCCAGCCTGGCCCTTCCAGACCCCAGCGGGGTGGGGGTCAGCTGGGGGAGGATTAGCGCAAGGCGATTAATCAAAGCGGCCGTTGGTTACCCGGAGCTGCGGAGGGTAGGCAGCAGGGGAAGGTGGAGAGCTGGGGCTCCGAGGGTGGCCTGGAACTGCTGGCCTGGCTCAGCCAGCAAAGGGCTCCTCCTCTCCGGACCTCAGTTTCCCTGGCTACAAATCAGCAGCCGTAGGACCTGCCTCACGGGGCCACCACGGAGGCTTTAACAAGCTGGTGTTAGTCAAATGCTTCAAACGGTGATCAACAAAGTCCTCAGTGAACCGAACCGCTGTTATTTCCATCATCTGAGGCCTGGAATGGCCCCGTTAGCCTCACAGATGTCAGAGGTTGGGGAACCTAAGGTCCCGAGAAGGCACTTCCTGTTGGCTCCCCTAGAGGCCGAGGGCAAAGGCTAGGGGGTATTACAGCTGGCTTTTGACATATGAATAGGAGTTCAGTATTCATCCATCCACCCAACGAACATTTACTGAGTGCTTTCTGTGTACCAGGTACTGTTCACAGCAGTGAACGGACACAAACCCCTGCCTGTCTTGTGGGGGAGACAGACCTCCAGCGGCTAAACACACAATGTCCAGAGTGTCAGGGGGTCTTAAGCTCAGTGAAGAATCCAAGCAGGAGGGGAAAGAAGGGGATGGTGGGGTGCATGGCTACTTTAGGGAAGGTGATCAAGGTGGTCAGAACGGCAGATGGGCTGCAAGGCTGCAGATTCCGGACGCAACTGGGTATGGAGGAAGGGTACTGGGGAGCTATGGGCGGTTTGGAGCTGAGGAGGGCAGGACGAGAGGCCAGCAGGAGGTGGCGGCCAGTGTCCAGTGAGAAAGGTTGGTGGCCTGGGCAGGGATCATGGAGACAGAGAGGGGTGGGGTTTGGGAAAGACTGCATGTGGGGGTGGGGGAGACACCCAGACTTTCTGGGGATGTTTTGGGGACATATGGACAGTGGGATTGTCCCAGAGGTGGAGCAAGTCCAAGGGAAGACACAGAGCCTGGCTTGGCCCTGCTTGGTCTGAGGAACCTGGGGGGGTTTCCAGGGGCTCTGAACCTGAGCAGGGAGGATGAGTGCTCAGGCACGAGGCGGTCTTGACAACTCCAAGAAGTGCTTTAGGGGGCTGGAGTGACAAGACCATGTGAGGGATGGGAGGGAGGGCTGGTCAGATAGAGCGAGGCTGGGGACCCAGGGCGGAGTGAAGGCGAGGTGAGGAAGTAGAGACAGACAGATCCTTCTAGAATGTTGACTTTGAAGAGAGAGAGAGACAAAGAGACAGACACAGAGACGAAAGAAACAGGCTCACACAGACAAAAGGGAACTCCTTGGGTGGTGCAAATGGTTGATGAGCTCGGCCACTAATGGGAAGGTTGGAGGTTCAAATCCACAAGAGCGTGCCTTGGAAGAAAGGCCTGGCAATCTACTTTTGGAAAATCAGCCTTTGAAAACCCTACAGAGCCCAGTTGTACTCTAACACAGGGAATGTAACCACAGCTAAAGTCAACTCAACAGGAGGCGGGCTGAGGTCGGTGGGCCAGGGGGCATAGTGCCCTAGAGGGGAGCTAGGCAGGGAGGCCTCAACCCCTGAGCTCAGACCAAAGACATGGCTGGAGCTCTGAGGAACTTTGGGGGGCCTGTGCCCCCTCCTGCCTTCAGCTGCCTCATCTGTAGGATGGGCTGGCTGAGGCTCTGTGGCCGGGGCCTAGTGAAGCCAGCTGGCTGGCAGACATACAGGGTGGGGGAGATAACTCCTCTAATTATTTTATTACTTTAAAACGCTAATGAGCCGCTTCTGTGCTCAAGCTCCAATTAACTAATTGGCCCTTGTGGGTTAAGAGGCCATGAGGGGCGGGGATATGAGGTACAGGGGGGCTTTGGGCGACTTAACAGGAGGCACAGAGGCCCCAGACGCTGTGTCAGCTTAGGGGGCGGATTAGGGGGTGGAGGGGTGCAAGGCCAAAGGGACAGGTGGCCCTTGCCAGCTGGATTAGCTGGGGTCAGGCCACTCACAGCCCTTCCTTCCGTCCACCCCAGGAAGAAGCAGTAAACCTTTCAGGTCCTGGGAGGAAAACTCAGGCCACAGGGAGTGCAGGCTTGGGGTGTGTGTAGCACACTAGAGGTCAGTGTGACCTTGGAGGGACATTTCTGTGGTTCTGGCGCAGCTTAGGGGTGGGTCAGAGGGGGCAGGAGGGCTGGCTGGGGCCTGGGGTCCCCAGTAGTGGGAGTCCTGGGGGCAGGCACAAGGCCCAGCTCAGAGACCCCTTTCTAGGTTGCCTTAAGGCTGGCTGGTCCAGAAAGCCACGTGATGAGGTGGTGGTGCTGGCTGCCACGGATGCGATGCGATGGGGCCAGCTCAAGGCAACCTCCCGCGCAGCAGTGTGAAATGCTGCCCCGCCCTGCTCCAGCCCCACATCAGGTGCAGACTGGCCCCCTTGTTCCCTACGGTTCTCATTGGCTGATGTTTAGCCGTAAATTACTAAGCCTCTCTCCCCAGTCTGTCTTAATCTGGAAGCTTCGCTGAAACCTGTCCAGCATCCCGGCCACACGTGCAGACAGACGGGTGGGGGCTGTGCATGTGGTGCACGGGTTGAGGAACAAACCTGGGTCTCCTACGTGGACTTGCGCCTGGGACGCGGAGCCCACAGCCCCAGCCTCCTATGCTAGAGCGGCCCACAGGGTGGGGCCTAAGGGCAGACCCTCTCAGCCAGTGTTTCTCTCCCCTGGGGTCGCTGGGCCAGGCTTTTGGCCCCTGGACACTTGGCTGTCCTTTACTCGAGGCAGGGTCACCTGTGAGCTCTCTCACAGCAGAGGCTGTGCAGGCTCTCAATGCCCAGAACAGGGTTGACACACAGCAGGTGCTCGGTAAGGGTTTGTTAGTG